TATAGTAGTTACTATAACTACATAGTATAGTTAAATCTTATGAGAATTTTTGCTTATGTGATTATTGAAGAAGCTGTATGATGACCTGCAATGGTGGCTGCAGTAATTTGGATTCCTACAGACACAGTACCTCTGAGTTCTTTTTTGTGCATTTTCTACAGAATTTGTCATTATAGAGTAATTTGAATGTAAACATTGACTTGGCAGAGAAGGAATGTAGTGCATGTTAGTGTACATATTTTTAAAAGATTGATTTTCTTATTTCATTTATTTTTTTTTTTAATTTTTTCTCATACATTACAACCAGACCATAGTTTCCCCTTCCTCCAGTTTTCCCAGTCCCACACCACCTGCCCTTTCCCCCAGATTTACTTTTCCATTTCCTTAAAAAATAAAATCGCAGGCCTCCAAGGGACATCAACCAAATACAGCTTATCAAGTTAAAAATAAGACTAGGCACAAACTCTCCTATCAAAGCTGCAGAATGCAAACCAGTAGGAGGAAATGTGTCCCAAGAGAAAGCAAAAGAGTTAGAGATACCCCCTCATGTTATATCCCACAAGAACAACCAAACTGCACAACCATAACATATGCATAAGACCTAGCTCAGTTCTTAAAAACAATGACATCATGAAATTTGTAGGTAAATAGTTGGAATTAGAAAAATTCAGCCCAAAATAGAGATATCCCACAAGAACACCAAACTTCACAACTATAACATATGCATAGGACCTAGCTCAGACCCATACAGGGTCAGTGACTTTTGCATCAGTCTCTGTGATCCCCTATGAGCTGTGCTTAGTTGATTCTATGGGCTTTGTTCTACTGTGTCCTTGACAGCCCCTCCACCCCCAGGCTCCTAAAGTCTTTCCTTCCTCCTTTGCAGAGGTTCCCTGCCTCCTCCTAATGTTTGGCTGTGGGTCTGTCAGTTTCCAGCAGTTGCTGTATGCCATCTGTCTAGCGACTGGCTAGGCACCGATCAATGAGTAAAGCCGAATGTCATTGGGAACCATGCCACAAACTAACTTATTTGTTTGTTTGCTTGTTCATTTATTTATTTATTTATGCCAGTTGTATTTGGTTCAATTTGCGGTCTCTGGGCTATCCCACCTCTGGTTCCCAGACATCCAGGCAGTGTCAGATATGGGCCCCCTCTCATGACATTGGACTCCAGTTGGACCAGTCGTTGGTTGGACTCCCACAAGTTTTGCACCACCATTGCCCCAGCACATCTTGCAGGCAGGATAGATTGTAGGTTGGTGGTTTCTCGATTACTAGTAGTCTTCGATAGGATCACTCTTGTAGATTCCAGGGAGTTTCCACTGTACTAGGTTTTCACATTGCCTACAAATCCCCGTATTCCAGTCATCTCTCACAGTACTTATTTTCCCCCACCCCCACCCGATCCTCCTTGTTTGCCTCCCCACCTGTCTCTAGTTCACCTGAAAAATCTATTTTCCCTTTCCTGGGAGATCCATGTGTTCCCCCTTTTTGATTCCCCTTTGAGGCCTCTGGGTCTGTGGACTGTAGAATGATTATCCTTTATGTAGATGTAACCAACCGTCTTATTAAATAAGAAACACAGAAACAATGTAAAAAAGAGAGCCAAGAGGTCAGAGCTCAGAGCTAAAATCTCACCCTTCCTCCTGCTGTGTCCCAGCTTCCCGAAAGAGAGCTATTTCCTTGTCTGTCAGTCGTTTCCAAGTCATTCTGCCTTCTCATTGGTTGTAAACCCAAACACGTGACTGCCTCGTCACTGTCTGTATGTACAGCCCTCTAGGTCTTAAAGGCGTATGTCTCCAATGCTGGCTGTATCCCTGAACACACAGAGATCTGTGGGATTTAAGGCGTGTGCCACCACCGCCACACTCTGTCTATGGCTCTAATAGCTCTGACCCCTGAGCAACTTTATTTATTAACATACAATCAAAATCACATTTCAGTACAATTAGAATACTACCACACCTTTACTTAACAGCCAGTGTCTACTAATAAGTATGATTATCCTTTACTTAATAGCCAGTGTCTACTAATAAGTGAATACATACCATGTTTGTCTTTCTGGGTCCAGGTTACCTCACTCAGGATGATTTTTTTTTTCTAGTTCCAACTATTTACCTGCAAATTTCAAGATTTCATTGTTTTTAAGAACGGAGCAATTGCCAGGTGGTTGTGTTGCATGCCTTTATTCCTAGCACTTGGTAGGAAAAGGCAGGCAGATCTTTGAGTTAGAGGCCAGCCTGATCTACAGAGCAAGTTCCAGGACAGGCCCCAAAGCTACACAGAGAAAACCTGTCTTGAAAAACAAAAACAAAAAACCAAAATGAACAAACCAATAAAAACAAAACGGGGGGGGGGGCAGAGAGAAGAACCACATTCAATAGTTTGCTGCACTGATGCAGTAAGCCAGATCAAGCTGATTTGGAAAAAAAGTTAACAGGTTTATTTGAGCAAAGTGACTCCCAGGCAGGTTCTCTAGTCCTAGAGATGGAGGTCGGAGAAGCCGTGCCCACAACAAAAGCAGGGAAACTTTAGGTTGTAGACAAGGGGTGATGATGTGTCCACCACAAGCTGAGTTTTGCCCAAGTATGCTCGAGAGGTGAGCACATTAGGCAAGGATTTTGCTGGCTGTCAGCCTTGGGAGTCAGCTGTAGTAGCAGCCAAGAATTCAGAACTGGGCTTTTTGGAACCTTTCCTTTGTTCAGAGACTCTGAGTGGGTGTGGTTTGGAGAGAAAGAAGACAGGAATCGGGCTTTCTTGATTATTCAGCGGTAAGCTGAAGGTTCCAACTGAACACTCTATGCTTATCAACTGGACTATTGCCCTTAATGGCCTAAGGCTTTGGATCTGTATTTTATGCTTTTCATCCTTGGGGTCAGGTGTGCCCAGTTGGTAAATTCCTGTGTGCAGGCAGAATCATCATGCTGTATGGTTTCGTCGTGGATAATTTTTCAAAGAATTATTTTGTTTATAGAGACTGCCATAGCATACATTTTTTTGTTCTTCTCCAAAGCCCACACAAATTTTCATAAAGGAAGAGGCATAAGGAAACTCCCAAAACATGTCGGTGAGAATCATCAAAAATGAAAGTTAAAAAAGTGCTGGAGAATTAGGGTCGCATTGTTTTAATGGAGCAACTTTGTCAAGCAGCAGTGATTGCCATGCTGTCTATGCCATACTATCATAACATATGAAGTAATGATACCTTGACTTCTTTCTTTTCAAGTTGCTTCTCCATGATCTATTTCAGTTGTTTTACCGCTACACCTAGAACATCAAGTCCTATTTTGAACTGATAGGGAGGGAATGGAGAGCCTTGTCTTATTCCTGATTTTAGTGAAATTGCTTTGAGTTTCTCTCTATCTAATTTCATGTTAACTATAGGCTTGCTGTAAATTGCCTTTATGTTTAAGTAGGTCTCTTGTATCTCTAATTCTCCAATACTTTTGTCATGAAGGGGTATTGGATTTTGTCAAAGGATTTTTAAGTATCCAATGATATTGTCATGTGTTTTTGTTTTTGTTTTTGTTTTTTTCCCCCTTTTTAGTTAGTTTACTTGGTGGGTTGATTACATTGACAGAGTTTCATATGTTGAACCATCCCTGCATCTCTGCATTGGAGCCAACTTGATCATGGTGGATGATCTTTTTGATGTGTTCTTAGATTTGGTTTGCAAATATTTTATTGAGCATTTTTGTATCTATATTCCTGTGGAAAATTGGTTTGTAATTTTATTTCATTGTTGACTCTTTGTGTGGTTTGAGTTTAATGGCAACTGTGGTCTCATAAAATGAATTTGGCACTGTTCTTTGTGTTTCTATTTTGTGGAGCAAAGAGAGGATTATTTGTATTAGCACTTCTTTGAGTGTCTGGGAGAATTCAGTGCTAAAACCATATGGCCCTGGGCTTTTGGTTGGGAGATTTGTAATGATTGCATCTATTTCCTTTGGGGGTATAGGTTTATTTACATTGTAAGTCCAGATTTAACTTTGGTAAGTGGTATCAACTGAGAAAACCAGCCAGTTCTTTTAGTTTCTAATTATTGGACTACAAGTTTTTAAACAATGACTCAGTGATTCTTTGGATTTCCTTCGTCCTGTTGATATGTCCCCCTTCTCGTTTTTAAAGAGTGCCTTACATTTTTACAATGATAATGATGGTTTGTTTTTTGTTTTTTGGTTTTTTTTTGTTGTTGTTGTTGTTATTCACATTTCTTTAGCTCACTTTCATGGTACTTGAATCAATAAGACTGGGGAGAATGCATCTTCCTCTCCTTATAGTTTTCCTGCAAATACTGTTCTTCTTTTCTCTTTACTTTTGATCTTGTTGTGACAGACCTGCCCATTACTGTATTGAGCTGTATTCCATTTCTTCTGTTTCCTTTAGAAGTTTATCATAAAATTTGTTGAAGTTTGTCAAATGACATTTCAGTTTTTACTGGAATTTTCTTATCAGAGGGATTTGGTATTATGTAAATTCATTCATTCCTTTATTCTTTCTTTCTAGTATTCTTGGTGGTAAGATTGCTAGTATTAATTTATCTCCTTCTAGGTAGAAATTATAGTTTACTGGTTTTGTTTGTTGGATATAGTCTAGTTCATCACAGCTCTCTATTTGTTGATTTCTCATGTAAAATGCTTTAATTGCTGTGTCATCATGGCTAATTCCACTCTGATTTTCTATGTATACATTGCCTCTAATTGTGATCTGCAGTGATGCTTAGGTGCATGACCTTTGTTATTTCATAAACTTCCTTCATGTGCCCTTGCTTCTCCATTAATTTTAGGAGCTGATATTTTTGGGTGCAATGATAAGGTTCATGGTCATTTTCTTTCTCCATGCTTAATTATATCTTTCTGTACTCTCCTGTCTATAGAAATGTGAAAAGGTTTCTGGTATCATTTTGATTTTGGGGTCTTTTTATGTGGTTTTGCATTGTTCATAAAACAGTTGTATTAATTTTAGCTTTGTATTTTTGATACCTTGATGTGAAATTTCAGCAAGAATTCCAGATTTTGTTCCAGAGATAGAAACTCAGAGAAGAGCAACAAGAAGAATGAATGCTTCTCTGATAAATGCTCCTGAGGTCAGTGTCATCTTTATATCTTTTGAATCTTTTTTTTTTTTTATTATTGAAACCATTTAAGACTTTAATTCTCTACCTCTGGTAATGTTATTTAAAGTATTTGTTTTCTATGATTTATCTTCTTTTATTCCCTCTGGTAATCAAGAGTAAGTCTGTAGATCTTTCACATACATAGCACAGCCCTTTCTCCTTATATTTTCACTCCATGTTTTACTTTGAGGATATAAATTTTCATAGACTGAAGACCTGCCATTATGAAAGAGAATATATTGCAAATGACACTCAAAGAATATATTGATGGCCAGTGTCTACATAGGATGGACTGTGTCCTTTTGTATCAACATGGACATGCAAATACATGGACTTTTTTGATGACATCACTGAGCAATTTATGGAAAAGTAGAATTAGAAGAGATTCACTGTCTTGAATCCAGTAGTAAATATATCAGCAACCCAGAGAGTATAGATAATGGAAGGAATAAGTGCCTTGCTTCTTCCATAAAATTGATGTATCTGATCACATGCAAAATGTAGTATCCTAGTTTCCACCTTTTATATCTTGGTTTTAGAAAGGGTACAGCATTGGACCTATGCCTCATGATCTCAATTGACCATGTTAGAATATAGTATGATGTGGCCCAGCTACAGATAGGATCAATACAATGTCTGTAGTTGTAGAATTTGGAAGCACAGTTCAGTTTTGCTCATCATAAGTTAATCATCTGAGATTTACCCTGGGAATCTTATTTGATCTTAATACATACTTCATAAAGGTAAATTCCTGCATATAGACCTCACATGTATGTTATATTCCCTAAAATTTTGCTGATTGTGATACTATTAATGTCATCTTATTTTCACAGAGATAGAAAATACAGTATTGACTATGACCATTTTATTCTTATACTATAATTAAACTTCAGTTTTATTTTATGTATGTGAGTATAATTGAACATATGAGTATGTGCTATGTATGTATAGTTCAGAAGTGAGTATGGGATCCTATGGAGTTGTGGTTAGAATCTGCTGTGTAGTGCCACCAGGGTGATAGGAACCAAACTGCATTTTAAAGGACTAAAAGTCATTACAGAATCTGAAAGCAGAGACTATTTTCAGATATAGTGATTGGCAAATCCTTTATCTGCTGCTTAGATCTTAGGAAACATCAACAAATTCATGAAGGATAGAGACCTAAAGATTGGAAATCATGCTGAGTGGTAGTGGCGCACACCTTTAATCCCAACACTCGGGAGGCAGAGGCAGGAGGATCTCTGTGAGTTCGAGGCCAGCCTGGGCTACAGAGTGAGTTCCAGGACAGGCGCCAAAGCTACACAGAGAAACCCTATCTTGAAAAACCAAAAAGAATGGAAACCATGTATTAAGTCTTTCATTACATTGTCTGTGGAAGAGAAGCAGTGAATAACCTTTAACACATTTCTGCAGCCCTGCTAGAAAACTTTGTCTTTGAACAACTTCCATGCCTCATCTGTGTCACAGAAGTGTCTCTAATTCTTTAAGCTCTTTTACCTAAGAATGCATGTTGTACAGCAGCAATGGTATATAGGTATTTTTCTTTTGCAGAGTCTGTTAACATTCAGGGATGTGGCTGTGGATCTCTCGAAGGAAGAATGGGAATGTCTAGATTGTGCCCAGAGGGCTTTGTACATGGATGTAATGTTGGAGAATTACAACAATCTAGTCTTTGTAGGTAAGAATGCTCTTCTCTAGAATTCCTGAGTTAATATTTATTTATAGACTTTGTTTATATGTAATCTCTCTGGCCTTTCTAGACACTCCTAGAAATAAGGAAAACTCTGGTTATCAACATAGCTTTTTCATGGTGCCTCCTTTACATTTTTCTCTGTTCTATAGATGGACAAACAATGCTATATTCTGTGTGATCTCTCCATTCCTCCTGCCTAGTTCAAAGTTCAAAGACAGTTGAATATTCAGAACATGGAAATATATTGCAGTACACACAATAATTGGAATATTGTGATTGTACTATTAGATTTAACTATTCATCAATTTCTGATATTTATAGTTAGGAACTTTTAAGTAAAAATTGACCTCTTAAGCCGGGCAGTGGTGGCGCACACCTTTAATCCCAGCACTCGGGAGGCAGAGCCAGGTGGATCTCTGTGAGTTCCAGGAAAGGCACAAAGCTACACAGAGAAACCATGTCTCAAAAAACAAGCAAGCAAACAAAATTGACCTCTTTATAGTTTCCATGGGTTTTTGTTTGTTTTGTTCTTTCAGTTTTTGAGATGTGTTCTCTATGTTTAGCCCCAGAAAGGATGATTTGAATCCTAGCTATATGTATTCAGAAGCAAAAAAGATACGTTGTTCTCTATCCCTACCCAGGTTACATAATGTGTTCCTAGCTGACCAAAGCTATCCAGTGTGGCTGTGTCTCAAAAACATATACAGGAAAATAGATAAACATTTTTCATTTAATCCTTCAGGGTACTCCTCTAATTATTGCTTGATCACAGTTTAGATAAGAAGGAGAAAGCCACAGTTGGTCCTTTTAGTTTGATCTGGGTCAGACAGGTGTTCGGAGCATCCATTTTAATGATGTGAGATGGAATAGACCTCTGGTGAGAGCTCTGTCCCTGAGAATTGGAAGTTTATATGTGATAGAAAACTTAAGGTAAATCAGTCATTAAATCTTTTACTCATGCTTTAATTCCTGTTTTCCCTCATTGTGGCAATTTTCCAGGTCAAAATCAAAGAGTCCACACAGGAAAGAAAGAACACAAAAACACAGAGTTTGATAAATCTTTTGAGTCTCAACATAAACTCACAATGAAACGAACCAATAGTGGAAAGAAACCACACCAAAGCTGGAAATGTGGAAACTGCTTCAAGACAGACTCAAGTCTTAGTAGACATCAGAGAGCTCATACTAGACAGAAACCCTATAAATGTACAAAATGTATTAAATCCTTTACACGTTTATCACAACTCGAAGTACATTGCAAATTCCATTGTGGTGAAAAATCCCACAAACGTACAGACTATCCTAAGTGTTTTTACCAGAAATCAGAATTAAAAAGACATTTGCATCAGAAAATTTGTACTGGAAAGAAACCTTATGGATCTGGTGAATGTGATAATTCCTTTACCCAGAAAATGAATCTTAGAACTCATCAGAGAAATCATACCGGACAGAAGCCTTATAAATGCAATGGATGTGACAAATCTTTTATCAGGATATTCAGTCTTAGAATTCATCAGAGAAGTCATACAGGAGACAACCCTTACAAATGTAGTGAATGTGCAAAAACCTTTACTCGGAAAGACAATCTTAGAACTCATCAAAGAGTGCATACAGGAGAAACACCTTACAAATGCAGTGAATGTGATAAATCCTTTACCCA